GGAGCTATTGAAGGATTATGATATCACCATTTTATATCATCCGGGAAAGGCCAATATGGTGCCGATGCTTTGAGTAGGAAGTCAGCCAGTATGGGCAGTCTTGCTTACATTCCGATCGGTGAGAGGCCGCTTGCTTTGGATGTTCAGGCTTTGTCCAATCAGTTCGTGAGACTGGATGTTTCTGAGCCCAATCGTGTGTTAGCTTGCACGGTCTCTCGTTCTTCATTATTGGAGCGCATCCGTGATCTGCAGTATGATGATCCCCATTTGTGTGTCCTTAGAGACACGGTGCAGAGCGGAGGTGCCAGGCAGGTTACCTTAGATGATGATGGAGTTTTGAGATTGCAGGGCCGAGTATGCGTGCCTAATGTGGATGGGCTCCGAGAGTTGATTTTGGAGGAGGCCCATAGCTCCCGGTACTCTATTCATCCGGGTGCTGCGAAGATGTATCGAGGTATTTGGCGGCAGCATTATTGGTGGCGTAGAATGAAGAAGGATATCGTAGCATATGTGGCTAGGTGTTTGAATTGTCAGCAGGTTAAGTACGAGCATCAGAGGCCCGGTGGTTTATTTCAGAGGATTGAGCTTCCCGAGTGGAAGTGGGAGCGGATCACTATGGATTTTGTTGTTGGACTTCCGCAGACTCAGAAGAAGTTTGATGCAGTATGGGTCATTGTTGATAGGCTGACCAAGTCAGCACATTTCATTCATGTGGCAGTCTCCTATTCTTCTGAGAGGTTAGCTGAGATCTACATTCGGGAGATTGTTCGCCTTCATGGTGTGCCCGTATCTATCATTTCATTCAGATTTTAGAGGATATGCTCCGAGCTTGTGTTATTGACTTTGGAGGCTCTAGGATCAATTTTTGCCTTTAACGAAGTTCGCCTACAACAACAGCTACCGATCGAGTATCCAGATGGCCCCTTATGAGGCCTTATATTCTAGGCGGTGTCGGTCTCCGGTTGGATGGTTTGAGCCGGGGGAGGCTCGGTTGTTGGGTACGGATCTGGTTCAGGATGCCTTGGACAAGGTCAGGATCATTCAGGATAGGCTTCGTTCAGCTCAGTCCAGGCAAAGGAGCTATGCCGACCGCTAGGTTCGAGATTTGGATTTCATGGTCGGCGAGCGGGTATTGCTTCGAGTGTCGCCTATGAAGGCCGTGATGAGATTTGACAAGAAGGGCAAGCTTAGCCCTAGGTACATTAGTCCGTTTGAGATTCTTGATCTAGTGGGAGAGGCGGCTTATAGACTTGCAATGCCACCGAGCTTATCAGTCGTGCATCCAGTATTTCATGTGTCCATGCTTCGGAGGTACCAGGGCGATCCATCCCACGTGTTAGATTACAGCACTGTCTAGTTGGACAAGGACTTGTCTTTCGAGGAGGAGCCGGTGGCTATTCTAGACCGACAAGTTCGTCAGTTGAGGTCGAAGAGTTTTCCTTATGTTCGTGTCCAGTGGAGAGGTCAGCCTGCTGAGGCATCGACTTGGGAGTCCGAGTCCGATATGCAGAGCCGTTATCCCCATCTTTTCCCCGACTCAGGTACTTCCTCCTTCTGTCCGTTCGAGGACGAACGGTTGTTTTAGAGGTGGAGAATGTGATGACCTTTTAGGTCATCACTTGTTTAAATTAAATTCTATGACTCCGAGGCCTTGAAAACCTCATTTAGAGTCACCTCGATTTGCGTTTGCAGTCCGGGCGCATAACCGGAAAACTTAGATATAAAAATCTATGAAAAATGGTAAAATTTGGTTATAAAATGAGTTATTTTGACTTCGGTCAACGTTTTGGGCAAATGGACCCGGACCCATGATTTGACTGTCCCGGAGGGTCCGTAGGAAAATATGGGACTTGGGCGTATGCCCGGAATCGAATTCCGAGGTCCCAAGCCCGAGAAATGAATTTTTGAAAGAAATTATTTTCTGAAATTGTTTAAGGAAATTTGAAATGAAATTTGATTAGAACATGTTAGTATCGGGCCCGTATTTTGGTTTCGGTGCCCGGTACAGGTCTTATATATGATTTAAGATGTTCCTGTAAAATTTGGTGAAAAACGGACGTCGTTTGACGTGATTCAGACCTAAATTGCTAAATTTGACACTTGATGAAAATGAGAAAAATATCTTGATTTTGAGGTTTGATTCATTAATATTGATGTTATTTTGGCGATTTGATCGCACAGATAAGTCCGTATGAGGTTGTTGAGTTAGTACGTGTGTTTGGTTAGGAGCCCCGAGGGCTCGGGTGTGTTTCAGAGGTGATTCGGGAAGTTTTTGACTTAAGGAAAAGTTGCAGATTTTCTGCTACAGGTGCTCAGGCCTGTTGTTCTTCGCGATCGCGTAGTCATTCTCGTAATCGCGTAAGGTAAATGGGGACAAGGGTGGATTTGTCCATCGCGAGCTCGAAGCCACAGTCGCGAACGTGGAGCTTTGGGGGATTGCTCATCGTGAACGCGACCTGTGTGACGCGAACACGTAGTGTTAATTGGAGGGGGTTGGGATTTTGGTCGTCCTTCTACGCGAACGCGTACGTGTGTCCGCGAACACGAGGGTCAAAAGGTTCAACCCTTCGCGAGCGCATGGAAGATCTCGCGATTGCGTAAGTCCACTTACTAGCAGCCTTCGCGATCGCGACAGTGTTCTCACGAACGCGAAGAACACTGTCGCCCAGCACTTAAAACAGTAGCTAAAACTGGATTTGTTCAAAATTTCTTAACTTCTTCATCTCAACTCCAAATTGGGCGATTTTTGAAAGAGGATTTCACCACAAATTCATAGGTATGTAATCTTAGACTCATTTTCTTCAATTTCCATTAACACCCATTAGATTTCTAGGCTTAAATCATGGAATAAGGGTAGAAAATTAGGGATTTGGGTAGAGTTAGGGCTTTTTAATTAATTGTGATTTAGACCTCGTTTTGGGGTCAAATTCCAAAAATAATTATATATTCGGGCTCGTGGGTGAATGGGTGATCGGATTTTGGTTCGAACCTCGTGTTTTGACCAAGCGGGCCCAGGGTCGATTTTTGGGTTTTTGAGAAGAATGATTGGAAAGCTATATTGTTTAGCATTTATTGATGTTATTAAGTCGATTATGTATATATTCAATTGGGTTAGAGCCGAATTTGAAAGGAAAAGCGGTGATTGAGGCTTGAGTTGGCCGTGGAAGTTCGAGGTAAGTATCCGGTCTAACCTTAGCTTGAGGGATTAGGAGTTGTGTCCTATTTGCTAATTTCTTCTTGTTGAGTATGACGTATTGGCATGGTGACGAGTATCTATACGTTGGTGCCGAGCATGACCGTGAGTCTTAAATTGATATTTGTTGTGTTCTTAAATGATTCTCCGGATGCTTAAATTGATGAACCTCGATATTGGGCAAGGATTTAGTTTATTTTTGTGGAATTTATTTGTGAATGAGTATTGGAAATAATTGAGCTGAGTAGAAGTTGAGTTAAGATTGGTTATAGCTGATTCTCCTTTGTCGGGATGTTTGTTTCAATATTGTTGTTCCTTGCCGGGAAATTATTATATTGCTTTTGTTCCCTTACCGGGATTTCCTTGGGATTTTGTATTGGCTTGAAATAGGAGCGGGTGGTATGCCTACCACAAGATTTAATGAAATGGGATCGGGTGGTACGCTTACCACGAGATATGTTGAAATGGGATCGGGTAGTACGCCTACCATGAGATATGTTGAAATGGGATCGGGTGGTACACCTACCACGAGATATGATGAAATGGGATCGGGTGGTACGCCTACCACGAGATATGATGAAATGGGATCGGGTGGTACGCCTACCACAAGATATGAGAAATGGGATCGGGTTGCACGCCTGCAACGAGATGTGGACCGAGAGTGAAATCTGCCTTTATTTTTCATTATCCTTGTTAGCAGTTAAATTGTGGTTTCTTGATAATTCTCTTGAGATTTTATTTTATCTGTTATTCCCCCGAAGCATGTTTCNGATTTGGATGACCTTGCGTCATGGCCGGAAAACTTAGATTGGATATTCGAGGAGGTAGGTTAGGATTCGAGGGCCATGGATGTGGGGGTTGGAAAGACGAGGTGAAGGAGAGTGCGGTGTGAAATTTTGGAGGCCATCGGAGCATCGCCGCCGGCGGCGGCGATTTCCGGCCGGCGGTGCTAGGGCGGAGGACGGCGGAGAAGGGCGGGGTAACAGTGGTGTTACACCGGCGTTACAAAGAGTACGAGGAGGGTGAGGGATTGTTTAAGGTTTTGTGTATAATTTCGGACAGTTTTATTTAAATTGAAGGATCAATCCAGGCCGTTGGATTTGAGGGGATGGACGGTCATGATTTAACGACGTCAAAACGACGTCGTTTTGAGTGTGGGGCAATTGGACCGGGCAGGGCATTTGGGCCAGTGGTTTGGTCCGGTCTTGAGGGGTTTTTTGGGGTGGGCTGAATTATTATTGGCCCAATTTGGGCATTCTATTGAGACCAATTTGTTTCTTTTGTATTTTTTTTATTTTTGCTTTTGTATTTTATTTTTTCTAATTTTACAAAGACGCAAAATTAACTAACAATTAAGCTAAAACTAATTAATGCCTAAAATTTATTTAATAATTATTTTGTGACAATTTCACGGTTAAAACAATAAAAAAATGCATAAAGTGAACTATTTTTGTCATTTTCTTCATATCCTATTCTAAAACAAATTAATCCCTAATTAATACTAACCATGATATTAAAACCTAAATGCAAATGCGTATTTTTGTATTTTATATGAATAAAAATGCACAAACAAAATGCAACAATTACCAAAACAATGCCACAACGTTCACAAAAATTTATAAAATACTAGAGAAATTGTTTTATTTAAATTTTAGGAATTATTCATATATAGGGAAAAAATCACGTGCTCACAACAAAAATAATACGGGGTTGAAGTGAGCTACATGGGAGAGCTAAAGAGATAGAAATGGCAATGATATGAGGGAATCCGAGCGATTCATATAAGGAATTGCCGAGGTATTTGTATATGTTGGAGCATACAAATCCAGGAGCGATTACAAAGTTGCACAAATTAGGAGATGGATGCTTTCTTTATGCATATGTTTCGCTCTATGCATATATCAAGGGTTGGGAGCATTGCAGGCTGATAGTGGTTGTTGACGGAAGTTTCCTTAAAGCAGCATATAAGGGTACCATATTGACTGCTTGCACACACAATGGAGCTGGTGAGTTGACTGCATCTACCTTGTTTCTGCAGTTTGTATAATGTTGTAGTTTGATGTGTAAACGTGTATAGGATTTCAGAGCTACTGTTTTTATAAAACTTGCAGTATGTATAAAGTTGTATATTCATGTATAATTGTGTATAAGATTTGTATAATTGTCTGAATCCTAATGTCTATTTTGTGTAAACAGAAAAAATCCTTCCACTTGCATATGCAATTGTAGATTCAGAGAATAGTAAATATTGGGAGTGGTTCTTCGTCCAGATAAATGGTACTTTTGGTGTTAGGGAAGGGATGTGTATAGTTTCAGATAGAAATGAAAGCATCTTCAATGCCACAAAAGCTGTGTACCCTGAAGTTCCACATTGTATTTGCATGTTTCACTTGTGGCAGAATGTCAAGCGCACAATCAAGAAACATCACAAACAATTGAAGGATATCTTCTTCGCTTTGGCTAGAGCTTACACGATTGAGAAGTTTGACTACCATATGACAAAGATGTGCAAAATTGATCTGAGGGTGCAGCTTTACTTGTTCGAAATAGGTTACGAAAGGTGGTCTAGGGCATACTCCAAAGTGAAAAGGTCGATGGTAATGACTTCCAATATTGCAAAGTCAATTAATGCAGCAAACAAAGATGCTAGAGAGCTACCAATGATGCGATTGCTGGAGTAAATGACAAATTTGCAACAACAGTGGAACAACCAAAACAGAAAAAGTGCAATGGAGACATCTACAGAGCTTGGCGAAAAGTACGACAAACTCCTTCGGGAAAATATGACTGCATCAGAGCAAATGACGATAAAAGGAATCAAATATAATGATGCATGACACTGTTGACTTGCATTTTACTGATTGTATAAGGCTGTATAACTCTGTACAATAATGTATAATGTGCTTTAACTTCTTTTAAAAAATACCTTTTGCAGGTGAGGCCTGCTACGAAGCAGTTATATATTGTGCTTAAAGGGGTAAGGCGAAACATAGTGTGCCTTGAAGAGGGAACATGCAGTTGCGGTAAATTTCAAATGGATGAACTTCTATGTCCGCACGCTTGGGCGGTTTTGAAGAACCAGCAGCTGAAACTTGGCCAGTATTGCTCTTTTTACTACAAGAAGGATAACATCCTTAGAACTTATGAATTTCTAGTGAATCCGATGCCAGATGAGAGTTTATGGGTAATCCAAACAGAGGTGCTGGAAAATGTGGTCCTACCACCTAAAGGGAGAAGAAATGCAGGAAGGACAAGAAAGGAATGACTCAAACCGGCTTCAGAGAAAGAGTATAAGAGGGGATTTTCATGTTCTGTGTGTGGACAAAGTGGTCACAATAGAAAAACATGTAGGAATCGACCAAAATAAATAGTTGGAAGCATAACAATTCCTGTTGAATATGTTGTCATGTTGAGTAGATAAGTTTCATAAACAATAGAGTTACAAATATCGAATAGTTAAGTTTCACAAGCAGTTGAGTTACGAATGTCAATAAAGAATTACAATTTACACTATATGTTGCAATTATGTTAAATATGTTTCATTATACATGTTTTGATTATCAAATAATAATGTGTTGCTGTTTTTAATGGTGCTAAATTTATTGATAGATTGTTCAAATGCAAAACAGAACTGCAAACAATCAGTGTCATTATATGCGTACAGATGTATAAATGAGAGTATACGTTTGTATGAATTTGTATACATATGTATAAACCCTGCAACATTGACAAAACTGCAACAATAACAAAAATACATACTTTGTTAAAGAAAAAAGCAACTGAAACATTCATTAAAATGTAATTCATTCACCGCCACAATGTGTAATGACTACCACAAACTACACAAAAATAAAGTCATCTACATTAAAATGAAAAAAAAAGAACTACTTTCTCGGTCGTCCCCTCTTCCTCTTCCTGAAAAGTCTCCCTGTTATTTCATCACCACTAATTGCACCGGGCTGTTATTTGTTCCTTCCATAATCCCACAACAGAGATCCCCACCTGGTGCGAAGTGTCTCAATGTCAAAATTATCTTTTCGGATTTCCTTACCCAGGATAAAATACTCAGCAAAGCCAGCAACAAAAATACCACAATCACTGTAATTAAAAAAAATCAGATTCTCTGTACGTTATTGTAAATAGGTACACATATAGTAAAATAGTAAAACAACTGAGATTAACCTACCATTTGATCTATTGTGGCACATTATTAACCAGATTAATCTGCAAAGCATCAGAATGAGATTTATCAGGTATATGCACTATTGTTCCAATCAATGCCCTTCTTCTCGTCATAAAAATCAGAACTCTTCAAAAAGTAAGGTATCAAAATTGCAGAAGGTAATGCAGCATCCAAAGCAAGTCTATCATTAATAGCTCCACGGTTAGAGTCACAAATGCTGATGCGCCTATCTATGAACGTAAACAACCCCAAAACCCAGTGGTCCAATTATAATGACCCGGGCCGGTCGTTTTAAGAATTAATGCCCCGATCCCATTAACTGCATTCCTCGTGTTTGTTTCTGCTATTGTGAGTTGCCGGGTATATTTATTTGGGGTTTCGGAGAGTTTTGGGACACTTAGTCCCCTAAATGAGAGTTAAGTTTTAGAATTTGGACCCTAGTCGGAACAATGTGAAGACGGACTCGGAATGGAATTCCATTGGTTCCATTAGCTCCGTTGGGTGATTTTGAGTTTAGGAGCGTGTTCGGATTATGTTTTGGAGGTCTGTAGCTTAATTAGGCTTGAAATGCCGAAAGTTGAATTTTTGAAGTTTCCGGTTTGATAGTGAGATTTTGATATCGGGGTAGGAATGGAATTCCGGAAGTTGGAGTAGCTCCATAGGGTTGAATGTGACATGTTTGCAAAATTTCAGGTTATTCGGACGAGGTTTGATAGACTTTTTGATCGAAAGCGTATTTTGAGAGTTTTGAAGTTCTTAGGCTTGAATTTCGATTTCAATTGGTTGATTTGATGTTGTTTGAGGTGTTTTGAAGATTTGTATAAGTTTGTTCAATGGTATATGACTTGTTCGTGCTTTTGGTTGAGGTCCCGGGGGCCTCGGGATGGTTTCGGATGGTTAACGGAAGAGTTAGGAATTTGGTTTGGCAGCTGAAGCTTTTCCATTGCTGTCATAACCGCACCTGCAGCTAGGGGACCGCAGGTGCGGACTCGCAGAAGCGAGCATGGAGCCACAGATGCGGCCACAAGCGAAGGCAGCAGAGATCGCAGAAGCGGAAGAGTTTCCGCACCTGCGGGACAATAGATGCGGAATCTGGGTCGCAAGTGCGGAGATAGAGATTGTAGTGAAAACCGCAGAAGTGGTAGCACAGAAGCGGGTATTCGACCGCAGGTGCGGATTTACTGGGCAGAAAATCAGAATTTCGAGGGTTTAGTTTCAAAAGTTAGGAAAAAGATTTGGAGCTCGGGAGAGGGCGATTTTGGGAGAAAAGAGGAAATCAGTGGGTAACAATTCCTTATCCCTTTCTAGTTTTATTCCATTAATCTATTGTTAGTTTTATCGTTTAATTTCGGATTTGAGATGAAAATTGGGGGAAAATTTGAAGAAAGTTCTTAGACCTAAATTTCGAGTTTTGATTGGGAATTTGACGTTGGATTTGGATAATTTTGGTATGGTTAGACTCTTTAGAATATGAGGATTTTGAAAATAGTAAATTTTACCCGATTCCGAGACGTGGGCCCGGAGGGCGTTTTGGTCATTTTACCTAATTTCGCGTATTAGCTTAGAATTTATTTGTAGAATCAGTTACTTGAAGTGTTATTTACATTATGAAATTGAATTGAATAGATTTGGGCCATTTGGAGTCGAGTACTCGTGGCAAGAACGTGGTTTCAGGTTGATTTTGAGCCGGTTCGAGGTAAGTGGCTTGTCTAACCTTGTGTGGGAGAAACTCCCCTTAGGATTTGGTTTGTTGATAATTGACATGCCTTGTACGTGAGGTGACGAGTGCGTACTTGTGCTAATTGTTGAAAATCTGTTTCCTTTAAGTAACTATAAATGTGATTTCCTTTTTCTTGTTCATACAGTGTGTAATTTAAGCCTGCTATTACCTTAGGGAAGCATGTCTAATTGTCTTAATTGCCTTATTTGCTCAAACTGCCTTATTTGGATTATGTGTGGCATGCTAGGTTAGAAATACATGTTTTTACCTTGGTATGAAATTAGAACTGAATTGAGTATTCTTCGTGTTGTTGTTGTGTGTTTACTTTAGGACTACGGGACGGTATCCCGGGAGATCCCCCTTCTTGTTTACTTTGGGACTACAGATTCGTATTCCGGGAGATCCCCTGCACCTGTATTGATTTGGACTGTAGTGCGGGATACTGAGAGATCCCCAGCACGTATATTGAGGATACTAAGAGATCCTTGGGATACCGAGAGATCCCCAACATATATATTGAGGATACTAAGAGATCCTCGGGATACTGAGAGATCCCCAGTACACATATCGAGGATACTAAGAGATTCTCGGGATACTGAGAGATCCCCAGGTTGTTATCTCTGCGTTGAGCTGTATCTATTTCCGTGATTTCTATGTCTCTGTTAAAGTTGCTGTTGTTCTTTTATCCCGTGTTACTTTTTACCGTTGCACTTAAGTATACTGTCTTATTCTAGACTGTTATATCTTGTATTTCTTTTAACCTCAGTAGGGCCTGACCTTCCTCGTCACTACTCGACCGAGGTTAGGCTTGGCACTTACTAAGTACCGCTGTGGTGTACTCATGCCCTTCCTGCGTATGTTTTCCATGTGCGGATCCAGGTACTTTCACTCAGTCTTATCACGCTTGAGGCGAGGCGCCTTGTAGAGACTCCGAGGTATATCTGCCGCGTCCGCAGACCAAATAGTCCCTTTCTATTCTCAGTACTAGTGTAGCCCTTTCTGTATTTCCCTTGTTGGTAGACAATTTGGAGTTAGAGCTTATTATGTAATCTTTTAGCTTGTGATTCATGGGGTTCCGGATTTTGGGAGTGTTAGATTGAGATTTTGTACTGTTATATGCCAGGAGGCATCTTAAGCACTGTTTAACCTTGTTATCTCGGTTTCTAATTACTTTCTTCCGCAATTGTTTCCTTTTTTCGCATTTGTCAGACTTACCTAGTCGTAGAGACTAGGTGTCGTCACGACAGTTCACGGATGGCAAACTAGGGTCGTGACACCAATTTTGCTCTTCCACGCTTGACATAAATAGGTAATAAGACGAAGTCAACAGTGTGCCATGCTACATTTGCATCACAATAAAAACCCTCTAATATAATCTTCTATTTCATGCCCTTCAGGAATCACTAAAGGATCTTGCATCACTTTGAAATCTTTATACAGTGAATTGATTTTGTTACCAAAGGCAAAGTCAGTTGAAGTAAACCGTATGGCAACATTCGGCCCATATTTTCCCCTCTTCCTCAAATAGTAAAAGAGGACATCCCAGTGCTGAGACAAGAAAAATAAAACAAAAAAAACCATCACTACTAAATGATTCAAAGTACTACAAAAAAATCAATATTTGATGCAGATTTTTTAAATATATAAATTGATACACTATTATACAGAGTTATACATGTTTATACAAGGTTATACAATCTTGTTCCGTGATTGTACAAAAATCTTGCATTTGATTATACAAAGTTATGTATACACTATGGAGGTCTCAAACATAAAGATACGCAATAAATAAAAGAAGGCATTAGGAAAGAAAGTTATTAAATACCGTGTCAATAAAAGGTCGACCACAATACACAAGTGGGTGGAACCAATCCTTCGTGGTCACATGACACGAGCCAAAAATAAAAGCTTCCACAAGCTTATTTACTTCATCAGTATAAATATTTTTGGCACTTCAAATCACAAAAATAAAAAGTAATCAGAACTACCTTCATTGACAAGTATAATATCAGAACATGAAAGCTTAAAGAAAGTTAAGCTACCTTCGCCTTGTATCCATCCCATTATCAACAAACTCACAAAAGTCTTTGGCCAATGGCGACAAGGAATCAAAATTATCAATTTCGATCGTGAAAGGATGCTTGATATCAAAAATGAGCTTGTGCGCCGATCCTGATGCCCCTGAATCAAAAACTGGCAAATACAGAGATTTGGCATATTTTCCCGGTATTTTCTGTCGAACCGACTGTTCAGGAGAAATGTAATCCTTTTCTACGTCTATGACAGGTGGTCTGTGAAGCACAATTTACGATAGCCATCATATTCGCCGAGGCCAGATGTATTGTCATCAGACACGCACTGA